AGATGCGTCTATCAAGATCATAAAATACTTGAATGGTCCACATGGAGGGCGTATAGGCCCACATATATCACCCTGTATACGTTCTAGAAATGCAGGGGATTCAATCCCAACTTTAGTTGCTGATGGTTTAATAACTAATTTTTCTTGAGAACAAACAGCACAAGAGAATTCCTTAAATTGAAGAATCTACTTGTTCTTCAATGTGTGCCCATTTGAATTCTCTATTATTCTGCGCATCATGTTAGAACCGGAATGGCCCAACCGGTCATGTGATAAAATCATTGGAAGTAGTAAACCTTTTGCTTACTATGGCATGTGATTCAACCACACTAATGTTTGTGTGGTATAACCCAGAAGAAAATATGGGTAATTTTTCATGCACATATTTTTTCCTCGCTTTTGTTGTAGTAATATAATGGTATTCAACCTTCCCTTCATTAGAGGTCTCAACATGGTAGCTATTTTGGCAATAGATTTGAAAGTCAACAAGTTTCTTTGAGACTTACTACTATAAAATGCATTATTGATAGTCAATATCGTTCCTCCGGGTAGTAATAAGGTCGCTCTTCCAGAGCTCTCAATTAATTTTGTATTACCAGATATTGTATTAACATAGGCCTCTTTCATAACCAAATAAGAGAAAAATATCTTTTCTCTTAATATTTTGTGAGTTGTAGCATTATCCAAATGGCACAAATCTTCATTACTCATCTTGGATCCATTTGAAGACTGGGAGTTTTTTTTCTTCATAAAAAGTAAAAGTGCACCATGAGAAATACGGAAAAACTAACAACACCAACAACAACAACATAAGAAACTTAAGTACTACTTGAAAATAAAAACAACTTAGAACGAGACAAAAAAATATTGAAAATAAAAATAACAACATAATTACATTCCACGGTAAAATGATCAAATTTTAGTTTTGATCCCCAAAGAAGTCTTCAACTTCCAAATAAATAAGATCATTGAGGCCTTCAAAATCATCATCATTCAAAGCAAGATTTGCCTCGGCATTATCATCATTTTGTTTGAAGGCCCTGCCTCAAAATTATTTTGGAAGGTCAAGTGAGACTCCACTGGGATATTAGCAGAAGATGCTCCAACATTATTTGCCTTTCTTTTGATGGAGTTTTAATAAAGCCTAACAAAATGCTCAGGTGCATGATATTCAATTTTTCAGTGACCTTTCATGCCACAGCGGTGACAGTTACCACTTTTTCCTCTTGAAGGATTGTTTTGAGAATCCATATTGTCCTCTTGTTTGCCATGACCACCACGGTGACGATTATTATATCATTTCTTGCCATTGCCATGCCCACGTACATTCATATGGCCATGATAATTATTCTGTCTTTTTCCAGACTTATCACGTCTCGCTACCATATTCGCTTCAAGAATCGGAGCTGACCCTGTAGAACGGGCTTCGTGATTTTTCATCAAAAGATATTATGTTGCTCAGCCACCAGAAGGCATGAGATCAATTCAGAATACTTTTTAAAATCGCTTTCACGGTATTGCTGCTGTGATACCATATTTGAGGCATAAATAGTCGTAAGAGTCTTTTCCAACAAATCCTCATCATTTATAACATCCCCACATAATTTTAATTGGGAAGTTATTCAAAATACAACAGAGTTATACTCACTTACGATCTTAAAATCTTGCAACCGTAAGTGCATCTACTTATATGGAGCCCTTGGCAATACCGTAGCCTTAAGGTGATCATAATTTTCCTTCAGGCCAGTCCACAATTCAAGTGGATCTTTCACTGTCAAATATTCAACCTTCAAACCTTCATCCAAATGATAAATAAGGAAAATTATGGCCTTCGCTTTGTCCTGGCTTGATACCTCATTACCCTGAGTAATGGTGTCAGCAAGGCCTTTAGCGGCTAAGTGAATCTCAGCATCGAGAACCCACAATAGGTAATTCTTTGCAAGTGCCACAAACTCAAGTTTTGACAAATTCGACATAGTGAAAACTATCAAAGAAGATAAGTAATTAGAAATCATTAGGATAATAGCGTAAAGAAAAGATTGACATAATATATTATTTGTGATCTATATACACTAAAATGATAATTCCATAGAAAAGAATACTATTTTTTTTCTTCAAATTATTAGTATATTTTTAATGTTAACTAGAACAAAAATATTTTCTAACTTTAACACAATTTCAAATGTCGAACAACATTAAACAAATATTCTTCTCTCAATTAATTCTATTAACATGAAAATTAGCAATTTTCACGTGATAATCATGCAAACAACTTAAAATAAAGAAACATAGAATTCTTTATTTTTAATTATAAAACTGCATATTAAAGAAACTAATCATGAAATCAAAATATACAATGAAGAAAACAGAATGAACAAATATACTTGAACAACAAAAAGAACTCAACTTCGTGCTGATAATGTATTAAGAAATGTAGCTCAAAGTAACAATATAAAACAAGAAGATAAGTAATAGAATAAGAGAAGAAGAAATAATTTTCTTATTTCATCAAGTGTTCAAGTGTGTCCCATATTATATTTCATGCCTCTATTTATACTATTACATAGGAAGGTTATAAAATGATTGTCTTAAATATGACATTAACAATTGAGATCATGGGAATGGGTTATGAAGGTGTGGGAGTTACAATCATAACAGTGATGAGTAGTGGGAGGTTATTTACATCATGAGTAAAAGTAGTGGGAGTAGTGGACATCCACATTTACTAATATTTTGCAACAAATACAACAAATTTTCAAAGTTCTATAGACACGGGAAGAGTTATTGTATAAAATACGGGCCGGGCCGAACCTGTAACTTCGGTTCAAACTCTATCTTTGTATAAAAAAATTTATTTAATATATATAAATTATTAATTTAAAACCCCAAAACTTTAAAAGGCTAGAATGTCGAACCTATAAGCTTCAAATCTTCTCTATTTATAGATATAAATATTATGCCATATTTATGAGCACAAGTTTTAAAACTATTACTCCCTCCGGTCCATAATAAGTGACTATTTTATTTTTTTATTTTGGTCCAAAATAAGTGTCTATTTATATAATCAAGAAGGAATTAATTTTATTTTTCCAAAATTTGCCCTTATTTACATATTCCTATGTATCAAAGTAACAACTAATTAAGCTTAATTTAGTAAATTTTTTTTTCTCTAAGAGTTTGTATTTTCCTAATGGATGTGCCAATGTAAAATGGTCATTTATTTTGGACCGGAGGGAGTACTCTTTTTTTAACTTAGCCACGAATCAAAGTAAAAATTGCACGGGGCACCCTATTTGGTCGCCCGCATTTAACCTATACCCATTTTTTAAAAAAGTTTTAACTTGTACCTACTTTTTAAACAATTTCGGCCCTCTTTCTCCTCCTTCGTTTTCTTCTTCTTCTTCTTCTTCTTCTTCTTCTTCTTCTTCTTCTTCTTCTTCTTCTTTCTTCTGCTACTGTTGGTGCTGCTATGAAACTTCAGTTCTATGATGATTGCCATAAGTATGTTTATCAGATTATTTAAAAATAAATTATAAATAATTACGTAAGTTAGTAGACAATAATTTGTGAATATTTTCACGTAATTGTGTTCTTTTCACGTTTATTATTTCCAAAATTTATGATTTAGATATTGTTAGCAATCTGATAATTTTATAGTAGTAATACACTATTAAAGAATAAGGTAATTATTTATCTAGTAAGTTAGAAAGCTTTTTCAAAAACTTCAGCTTATATAGTGCTGAAGTTTTTACAAATGAACTAAATAACTTCAGCATCTTCTGCTGAAGTTTTGAAAAAAGTCTTTAATGACAAAACTAATGAATCCAAGGACAAAAAACTTCAAGCCTATATAGTGCAAGTTTTTTACAAATGAACTAAATAACTTCAGCATCTTCTGCGGAAGTTTTTTGAAAAAGCTTATCCAGGACAAAAAAAAACGCTTTAGCTTATTTAGTGCTGAAGTTTTTACAAATGAGCTAAATAACTTCAGCATCTTCTGCTGAAGTTTTTGAAAAAGTTTTATGATAAAACTAATGAATCCAGGACAAAAAAACTTAAGCTATTTTAGTGCTGAAGTTTTTACAAATGAACTAAATAACTTCAGCATCTTCTGCTGAAGTTTTTGAAAAAGTTTTATGACAAAACTAATGAATCCAGGACAAAAAAAATTTCACCTATTTTAGTGCTGACGTTTTTATAAATGAACTAAATAACTTCAGCATCTTCTGCTGAAGTTTTTGAAAAAGTTTTATGACAAAACTAATGAATCCAGGACAACAAAACTTTAACTATTTTAGTGCTGAACTTTTTACAAATGAGCTAAATAACTTCAGCATCTTCTGCTGAAGTTTTTGAAAAAGTCTTGTGACAAAACTAATGAATTCAGGACAAAAAAACTTAAGCTATTTTAGTGCTTAAGTTTTTACAAATGAACTAAATAACTTGAGCATCTTCTGCTGAAATTTTTGAAAAAGCTTATCTAGGACAAAAAAACTTCAGCTTATTTAGTGCTGAATTTTTTACAAATGAACTAAATAACTTCAGCATCTTCTGCTGAAGTTTTTGAAAATTTTTTATGACAAAACTAATGAATCCAGGACAAAAAAACTTCAGCTATTTTAGTGCTATAGTTTTTACAAATAAACTAAATAACTTCAGCATCTTATGCTGAAGTTTTTGAAAAACTTTATGACAAAACTAATGAATCCAGGACAAAAAACCTTCAGCCTATATAGTGCTGAAGTTTTTACAAATGAACTAAATAACTTAGCATCTTGTGTTGAAGTTTTTGAAAAAGTTTTATGACAAAACTAATGAATCGAGGACAAAAATACTTCAGCTATTTTAGTACTGAAATTTTTACAATTGAACTAAATAACTTCAGCATCTTATCCAGGACAAAAAACTTTGGCGTATTGACTTTGCTACTTCAGGCCCGTGTATCGCGATTGTCTTTGCTACTTTAGCCAACGTGCTAAAGTATAATTAGAAGAGTGGAAGTAGAAATTCAGATTTGAACAAATTATAGGTGGGCCGTGCATCTATTATTCTGTGGACTTCACATGAGGAGCTAGGGTTTAAGGTAGAAAGAAGAAAACACTCCCAATTAATCACAGGTAAATTCTTGGCGATTTGCTGAATAGGAAACCCTACATTTCCATAATTTTTGTAGCTAAGGATGCCAAAAAAGAGTAATTCTAAGAAGCCGAAACCAGTGGATGCAAGTCCTGTTGTAGAAAAGTCGAAACCAACTCCTTCTAAACCCACAAAATCAGGCAATGAAATCGACGAGATATTTGCTGGAAAAAAGAGGAAGAAACCGGAACAACTAGAAAATTCAAAATCAAGCGGAGATTCCATTACAGAGCCAAAAAAGCTGAAGAAAACCAAAGATAAAAGTAGCAGTAGAGTTCCCAACGTGTTATCTGAGCCGCCACGTCGACAGAGGAAAAAGACGGCGGATGGGTTAACTATATACACGGAAGAGGAGTTGGGTTTAGGGAAGTCCAATGGTGGAGGTACCTCACTTTGCCCATTTGATTGTGACTGTTGTTTTTAGTGAATTTTGAGGGAATCATTTAAATTAAATGAACTATCAGTTTGTAGTGAAGTTATATAGTTTATGTCAATTTTTTAGGATGGAATTTTGTTCTCTTTGGCTGACTGGTGTACACTTTTTTTGGAATGTATGAGAAATTTTATGTTTAGGCTTAAAATAGTTATTCTGCTGGTGCATTATCAACAGTCAATTTACACAACTTTGTATCGAACGAGTGCATCATGGGTATGTGTATTCGTGGAATTGTTCAAATTACACTAAAAGTTGACAGGAAACCAAATGTACCTGGATCATGTGACATAGATTAGGGGAATAGTGGAATACTGCTTTGAGTTTTTCATTTGTTTTTTCCAGTCCAAATGGATGTACTTGTGGTTTTCCCTTTCTGCATAAGAGGTTGCACCGAGGTAGGTATATATATATATATATATAAAATCAGCATTGGTCATAACTATAGGGATCTGCTTACCCGCACGATGAAAATTTGGAAAAGGGTGGTAGAGATGAGGGTGAGGAGGGGGTGTCTATTTCCGAGAACCGATTCGGGTTCATGCCGGGGCTATCTACAACAGAAGCCATTCATCTTGCTAGAAGATTGGCGGATCAGTATAGGGATAGAAAGAGAGACTTACATATGGTGTTTATTGACCTAGAAAAAGCATACAACAAAGTTCCAAGGGAAGTTCTATGGAGATATGAAAAATATAATGTGTTCAATGCTAATAACTTTAAAGATTGAATCCATAGAGTTTAAATCCTGTACCCGCCTATTGGATGGGTAAGCTTCGTCATCAGTTAGGTCCCCATTCGTAGTGTAGGAAGTTGTTTTTTGGTGTTATCCAAGCATTCGACAATCAGGAAGTGGAATAAGACCCTATGGATCGTTGCATGGATCCTTGTTTGACCGTATGTCAGGATTTGTTGATCTCATGAAGATAGTTCATTATCCGGTGAAAGATCATGCTTCTGACGTTTAATAAATTCAGGACTTGGTGATCTGATGAAGACGGTTCATCGTCTCAGGAAGGTGGAAGTTTGTTGGAGTTTGGAATCACCGATCTGGCCAACTTTTCCAGCACCATGTTACAAAAGATGAACCCTCTTCAAGCATTTTTTTTAATGCAGCATTCTAGGAATAAGGTCCTTGATCAGAAGAAAGAAAGGGTCCTATCATGATGCGCAGAAAAGACTTGAAAGGAGAAAAACTTAATGGGCTGGGAGCAAAACTAGCAAGTTGAAGGCTTGAGAGTGGCGCAGGCAGAACAATCTGGGGAGGTGGACAGAACGACACGTAATAGTATCATGGAGGGAAAGCTGGAATTTTTGTCAGAATCACCAGTGACAGTGAGGTGAGAGACGAGGGACTGTGCAGCTGGAAAGAGGAGAGAAAATAAATATATTATATAACACTATGAGCATCACAACTTGTTTTTTTTGTCCATTTGGTAAAGTAGATGCTTTCTTCTTTATATAGCTGGAAAACTCGTCTAACCGGTTTACTTAGCTTTTGTTTTACCACCTAACTCATCCTCCAAGGCTCCAAGCCTAGAAGAGAGAAGTGAGCTCAACTATGCAGAAAACCTTGCTAGACTTCCAAGTCTCCTGTAAATTCTATAAACTTAAAAGTGTCTCATGAAACAGCACCTCAGTCTTGGATTAACTCAGCTGCTGTTTCGCCCAAACTTAGCTTCTCTCGATAATTGTAGAATGAATAGCTTATATAGCAGTCTTATTTTCTATTTATGACTTGCATGTTGTACCTTATATTTGGAAATCAGCTCTGCGCAATCAAATTACCCGATTGTGTGAAACTAGTTACATTTTCTTTCAAATTGAACTCAAAACTAGCTCAATCCACCCTAACTTTTATTGCATTTGAATTGGTCTTCCAAGCGCCAAAAGCATAGAAGCAACACAGGTTATTGAGAATTTTAGCTTGCACTCCAGTTCTGGTGAATAAAGTTTGCCTAATGAGAGGTTGATGCTTGTTTTATCTGGGGAGACTTAATTGTACACTTCAGTGTAATGCATCAATAAAGGAATTCCAGAACTGATGAGAAAATCATTTTCATATACATTTACTCTCTGAAGTTGATGGAAATTGACGGCTATTCTTAACAGTGACCAGTAGTTCTATGCTGCTTCCCCTTGTGTTGTTACTACAGTAATCACTATGTTCTTGTACTTGAATGTTTCATGGTGTTGTGCATTACAGCATTAATGCAGCTCAAAGCATACACACACGTGGGAAAATAGCAGTTATGGACCCCTTTTATGGGTAAGTCCCATAAAAATTGCATAAAAATTGATGGGTGACTTCAGGTGAAGGGGCAATTTTTGCGGGGTCGAGTTATGGATTCAAGTCAGTGGCTGAAGGGGGAGGATGTCAAAACCTTACCCATAAAAAAAAAGTACATAGACCTGCTCACAAAGAGCTACAAGACAGCCAAAAACATTACTGCTAATAAAATGAAAGTGAACAAAGCCAAACCAATATGATATTCAATAAGCCCACTTTTTTGAGAGAAAAAACCTGAATTTGTTGAGGAAGATCAGCTGTAGAGGAAAACCTATAGTCAAACTGAGAATCGCAGCCGAAGTTTGCTAAAGAGTCTGCCACTTTGTTGTTTTCTCTAAATGTATAGACGATTTTGAAATGGCCAGCCGAGAATTTGGATGAAATGAAGCTCCACCATGAGTCTAGGTATGGGTAATTTTAGGGGCTTCTTTATTTTCATTGAAGCAATCAACAATGATTTTGGAGTCAATTGCGAGTTTACGAGCTTGATGAATGTAGAGCGCATCCAGAAGAATAGAATCAGTAAACGTCCAAGATGATCTGATGTCAAGAAGCTGAGAACAGTCTTTCAGCCAGTCCGTAATTTGTTGAATAATAGCAGCCGGTTGAGATATTGGGTTTTCTAATTTACTGCTATTGCCTTCCTTCCAGAGTTCCCAAACTGAAAAAATAGTAAGCATAGACGTGACGTAGCCAACTTGGGATTTCCTGCGAGATCTGTTAAACCGCCGGGACTGAATGGAATCNGCCTGCAGCAGGCGTGGTCAGAGCACTCGATGGCTTTTTCACCTGGCGTATGGCCATACGTCACGGGCATCACGTCACCGGTCATATCGTTTATTATCATTACTCTCTAATAAACGAGGGGACTATCTGTATTAGGTGATACCCTTTTTTGCTTGAGCCCGACCGGGTTGGGTCCGGACCGGAGCAAATCGGGGCCATCGAACCCGACCTGGATGCAAGGTAGAACGACGGCCACGTCTACAACCGAGGTCGAGTCATTTCGAGACCGTTACAGAGCTCGATAGGAGTCACCACCGGATGGAGAAACACACAAGGTCGGAAGCCGGACTCGTAACGGATAACCAAGCGTCGCCGGATATCTCGCCCAAACGTGATTTTCTCAACCACTTCAGGCCATTAAGGCGTAATTACAGGGATCCACGATGTAATCAATTGACCTACCTTATTTTTACCCTTAATCAGAATGTATAAAGGGGGATCTCTCTAAATTCTTGAGGATCATCAAGCACAATTGTTCTAAGCAATATTATATTCTGCGATTATTTACTTTAACAGCAATTGTTGAGTCTTTATCTTTATTTTCCTTAACCTAAAAACCTTTTGTATCTTTTAGTTCACGGATCCTTAAAACCCCATATAAATTCAATTGTTATCCGGATTCGAGGGTAAACACTATTGGTTCTTGTGTGGCAACTAGTATAGATGATGAAAGGCGGGCCGCTCTTTCGGGACCTATTCTCTTAATAGACGACAAAACAAAATAGGAAAGGGGACGAGCTGACTGATGAGTGCCTTTTTAGCCTTTATTTAAAATAAAAGGCTCTCATATGGAGCTAACATGGCTGGCTACATACAAGTATAGCCAAATCAAGATGAGATGGGACGGCCGTTCAGAGGCTGCAGCGGGACTACCATAGGAAAGCCCGCCCCCGCTAGCTAACATAGAAAGAGATTCCCGGATAGCAGTAGTCTCTATGTGAATCTCTTCCCGACCGGCCAAGCCGAATCGGGGCACCACTTGGGATGGGAATGGCTCAGCCCACATGCATCATTTGATGAGAGCACTCCAGTCGCTTCCAATGATTGGTTTGTCAACCACGCTTTCTCTCCCTCAAAACAATGCTCTGAACACGAAAGTGTGCAGTTCCGCCCCCTTCTCCCATGCTGAGTCACAGGCAGCACCTCAGAAAGCACGGATGAGCCACATGCAGGGGAACTTGCATGTGTGGTTCTGGCCGGGGACCCCGGTATACTGTACTAATATGTGTAGGTTCCCGTAATTCGAGTGAGATTGTCATGGCGCAAAAGCAGATATGGTCCAGTATTCCCTTGTTCCCTGTATTGGTTATGTTCTTTATATCTCGTCTAGCAGAAACTAATCAAGCTCCGTTTGATCTTCCAGAAGCGGAAGCTGAATCAGTTGCTGGCTATAATGTAGAATATACGCGGGATGCGATCCTTAATAGTTCACTGTTGGCGGAAGCCAATGTCTCGGGGTCTCAGGGACTCATTCTGACTGAAACAAGGGGCGGGTCTTTACCAACTTCCAAATATTCTATTTTAGGGAAGCCAAAAAAGGTGAGCGCCTAGCGCGAAAGGTTGCTTTACTAAGTAAGATAAGGCAAGAAGCAAGGGCGCAGCAGCTGCACGAAGTTGCTTCTTAGCGCATCCGTTTTCTTGCTCGTTAGCACTGACTAATAAGATAGAAAGAGTCTTTCTTGCTTGTTTAGTAAAGTCTCGCTTTTTGATAAAAGTAGGTGCTTTCTAGGGTAGGGCACTTTTCATTCTTCATTCGAAACTAACAAGTGTCGGGTCGTGGATTTCTGCCTTGTTATCAAAAAGGAAGTTGGGTAAAGCAAACTCTCTCCTTGGAGGAGCACGGGCTTAGTCAAGTAGAACCGGGTTGCGCTGCTTGATGCTCCGATAACCAATCAGTGGGGCCATGCCGGTACGACTGAATATGCGTTAGAAAGGTCAATCCCTCCCCTAAGACACCAAAAAACCGGGGCGAACTTCTAAACCGCCCGCTTCCATAGAACAATATCGTGGCAACGTAGACCTAAGTGGTCATATTGGATCCTTGGGAACCATCACAAGTACGGCCGACCTATATATATTTGAACGAAAATGCCGTGTCGTCCAGCGGATCCTAGAATAAGGTGACTCGCACAGACAGCTGACTCCTTTTCAATAGAAAAGAATAGCCAAACCAACCCAGCTGGCTGGTCAATCTCAGAGATCTTATCGGCCGGCAAACCGAAGACGGACGACCACAGTCCCGGCCTTACCAGCACCAGAGGTGTACTAATCAATGAACCCACAAAACCAACTTTCTTTTATGAAAAAATAAACCAAGCCTAAGCGGTCACAACATCTTGTTGATATTGATTGAGGAGTTTGATGGAGTTTAGTTGACTGAATCCATCCATAAACATAGACCGCGGTAACCTTCGTAACCAAAGTGTCACGACAACATCCAAAGGTGACCTTTGTATTCTTATGTAGGGGGCAAGGAGGAGCACGTAGGAATGCCGACCACTACATAAGCCACTAGTGGCTGAGAGAAAGCGAGCAGCACCTTGTATAGGTTGGGCGGAGCTTAAAGAAGCAAGCCCCTATCAGAGAAAGCCATTGCGCGCTAGCCTAGCTAGCTAACGTTTTTCAGCTGGCTGTTATGTTAGTTGTAGCGCGCCTTCCCTCCTTCTCTGACTTTGGGAAGATTTTTCAATATTTTCTTATGATGACCTGGTCGAGAGAGTACGATACATCGGTGTAAAAGATTTCCTTTTTTCTGTGAGCTTAGTTTACTTGACCGAAGGGTGCAGTAGAACCTGAAGGAGAGGAATAAATACTTGGTCTATAATTTTGACAAAAGGAGGACCGCTATTGGGAAATATCTTCCTCCTCTTGGTCGTCATCAAAGAAGTTGACGTCCGGGGCTTCCTCTTTCCCTTTAAAATAAAACCAATGAAGTCCATCCTAAAGTTCAAAATCTACATCCAACACCAGAGGTTCCTGATGAGAACAAATTATAAGGCGTTGAAAGAAACCCTTAAGAAAGATGTCAAGACCCTCGCTGCAAAACATATTTTCACTAGATAGTAAGCCCCTCTTTGACTTTGATATAGAACACATAAAGGGGGAGAGTCACAGTCTCCCTTATTACCCAAACAATAATATTCATTCTAATAGATATCGGTAGTTGACAATAATATTCATTGTTTGGGTACGACCGGACAATAAAATTCATTCTAATAGATATCGGTAGTTGTCCGGTCGTACCTAAACAATAATATTCCAGAAGGAAATGCACCTAAGATCAAATATTTCGAGCCGGCTTCCGTAGAAAATTCAGACTTTCTTTTTGATGCTGCGATCACATAAAAACATAAACTTTGAGGCTCAATTGCTAAATACATGGTAATTGAATCATAAGCCGAGATCATAAAGAGCATACCACGAGTAGGAAGTGGAATTAATAGAATGGATTCAAAAGCATCAAACCTCTCTTGTTCGAAAGAATTGAAACACATCGAAATGGTACCAGCCGTACTTAATAATAGAAGGATTTGGCAGAAATATGTAAAATTGTCCCTCCTCAAAAGATTATTCCAGAATAAATGGGCAATAGTTAGGAGAGGTGCGCCAGCGGCGAGCAGAAGCAAGGTTATT